GGTGCCCAGGGATAGGACAAGAGGAAATGGGCACAAACTGGAACATAAGAAGTTCCATCTCAACATTCTGTGATTCTGTGAGTAGAACAGAAAGCTTGGGGTTAAAAGTGAGCGGCTGAGATGGTCTTCTGAAGAGGCAGGAACTGAAACTGAAAGCGGTGGTGGTGGTGGTGTTTGAAGCTCATGGGGAGGTAGCAATTTTGAGGTGTTACCCAATTGACCCACCTTGTTTTAGCAGTAACTAAAAATACTGGACTACGCTCGTCAAGTGGTTTGGGCCCTGCTTGTTGTGCGAATATTTGAATATATACAGACGTACCACAGAATATACATATGGAGCAGCGTTCACTAGCAAAGCTCCTGGCTATGTTTAAACAAGCCATCTGCATTCCTGCTTGTCTTTGTCTTACAACATTTTTTAGACTGTAGTTTTGCCTGTATAGTTCTCAGAACCTAATAGTTCAGATTGTTGGGCTTGGAGAAACCCATCAAAGGTACCCTGCATTTCTGTGACCTCTTGCATTTGCAGTGGGTTGAGATGGGTCCGTCATTTTTCTTCCCTTTTTTTTCTTCCTTCTTTTCCACCCCTGCCACCCAGCCACTGGTATTTTTCTGCAAAGGCTTGAAATAGTTGGGATGACAGCACAGTACATGAATTTGTAGCATTCTTTAGAAGCAAAGTACTGCAAAGCAGTGGAAAAGCATTCTTTGTGTGTATTATTTGCCCAGGAAACATAAACGGGGAATGCAAGGGAGTTCCTGGGGACAGGAATGCCAGGGAGAATGCTGACCTGTAACTTCACTGAGAAGACAAGTTGAGTTCCATGTGCTTCTGTGTGTGGTGTGCAGGTACCCACAGTGACATTAGCATATTAGCCTTTAAAAGCTCACCAAGCAAATCTGTAAATGAGGGTTTATTTAAATTTTAGGACCTGGAGGGTTTATTTAAATTTTAGGACCTTAACGGTGTTTTGCATGGTATGATGCACCAGGCAGATGAACACACTGTGGAATTCATTCAGGGAAATTGCAATTTAAGGGCACATACCACGTTGCTGCTCTCTAATTACTAAGGACAGAGCACAGCTCCGGAATAGTGAAAGGGACTCCATAAAAATTAACCAGTTGACAGCCCAGTCTTCAGGGAGTTTTTAACTGTGAGGGAGGAACAAACAGCTTCTCTTTATTCAAAGGTTGAGGGCTCAGAGTGTGTGGCCAGGTAGATGGAGTTAAATTATCTCTAGGCCAGGGTTGTCTCCTCAGCTTTCCTGGGCTGAGGGCCCCACTACTTACTGTAAATCAATCCAGTGGCTCCATTCAACTGATCTGCTGACAGGTCAATGATTAACTGAAAGCTATCGACCAGCCAGAAGATGAACACTGCTAAACAGCTGTAAAGTAAAATAACTCTTGAATACAAATTACCTGATTAAATTATTTGCCAACAGGTTATTCTAACTGACTGAAGTTCAAAAAGTGGTCTGCTCCAGGGTTCACAACAAAAAGTGCTAACAAAGTTTCTTTAAAAACCTCTCTGTGAATGTAAGGCAAATACCACGACCGATCTGAACAAGCAAAAGGTGGTGGTCGCTCTGATGGAGTCTCTGGACCTCATAGTACCTACCCAAAATCCCAAGACTCCAAAATCGGGAAAGGGCAGGATAGGATGATAGAATTGTCCAAGGAGAAGCTGCTGCCCGAGCATTCACAGACCATTCATGGTGCTGCTTACACACACACACTCCCAGGAATCCTTCCTCCTTCTTCATGCTCAACCCTCAGTTTCTCACAGCAGAGTCTCAGCTGTCAGATTGTATAAAATAGATAATTTAATTGGAAGGTACAGCAGCAAGGACGGCCCAGGCTGGGTAGCTCCAAAGAGAGGGACCCAGGACAAACAAATCCCTGGGCAATTATACACTTGTGATAGATACACCCACCCGTCGTGCCCTTTATGGGCTGTCCACATGTCTTTTAATCCATGTGGTGATTTTTGGTCTGGGGTCTTCTGACATCTTATGGGATTCTTTTTCTGTGTCCAGGCAGGCAGGCTCTCAGTTTGATGATTTACATTTTCAGCCAAAGGTTGGAGCCTCCTTATCTTGCGGAGTCCCCTTCTCTTCAAGCCCCGCCTGGATGCTCCTGAGTGATGTGCTCTGGGCAACCCTGCTTTGGCAGGGGAGTTGGACTAGATGATCTCTAAAGATCCTTTCCACTCTAACAATTCCATGATTCCATGATCTTCTGGTTTGCGCTCCTTGTGCACCTCCACTCGCTGGCAGAACGTGGAGAACTGAAGAGTCCCAGACTTGGGAAAAACACCACCAAACCATCAGTGTGATATCAACATCTTTCCCATACTAAAAGGCTAAACACAGCACTGTACCAGCTGCTAGGAAAATTACTAAGAGAAATAACTCTATCGTGGGCTAAAGGCTTCAGCAAATCTAGCTACTTGTGCTAAGCAGGCAAACAGCACAAATTACACCATGTTAGGATCCTAAGTAATTTATTCTAATTAAAACTTACTTATTTAAGCTAAACAACTAATAAACTCTTGACAGAATTACTCATTTCTTCCAGTGCAGACTCTACTGGAAGGGAAGCTTGTGATCCAGTTGGACTCGTAGGCTGTGCGTACACAGTTAAAACACAGGAATCCACACACTGACGTATTTTAAATAATGCCAGGCTGCTTCTCTGGTTTGTTTTTGGAGAGTGCTTGGATGACTCTCGGTGCCTGACACATGAGCGCAGTTATTAGGCAGAAATACTTCTGCACTTCAGAAACGGCATCTCCCAAATTCCTGTTTGCCAGATACTTGCCAATACCTGCGACGGTTGAAACGAGCATCGTCATGTCTCCTCAGGCCCAAACACGAGCCTTGTGGAGACATGCTTGTAGAGCCTGGGGCTTCTCCCTAATCGATAGAATAATTTCTTCATGAAAACCTGTGGGGTTTGGGGGGCGTTCCGAGGTGTTTCACATCAGTTAAGACAGCGTTAAGGGCTATGATGTCCTCACGCTTGGTTGTTCCTCACACGGCAGTTGAAATCCTGAGAATCATTTATATAATTGATTTTTTTAGTATTTATATGGAGGAAGCTAGAATGGCCTAGATTTTTACCTCATCCTGAGTGTTATTGTTACCGCAAACTGGCAGGTAAAACTTTCTATGACTCAATTTAAAGTTTAGAAAGCAGGCATTCTTTATTGCAGCACTGGGTGCACAGGGGATAGATAGCTCCTCCTATTGTGCACACCAAATACTCTTGTCAAATTAAATTTATACACAACAGGTATAATTATTCAAGGTAATTCCAAGAAAACATTAGCATATTCACTACATTTCTGAGAATTCATTTACATATTAAATAAGCTTTTGGCCATGTGTAGTTGTGCCTTCTGGTGGTCATCATTTTGAGTGAGGGTCGTTTCTTCCTTAATCTTCATCTTCTTCACCTGTCCTGTGGCTCACTTTCCATGTTGGCAAAACATTCTGTTTAATTGCTCATTAAAACTAATGATCTCCCTGCTACCACCTGTTTGTCAGACAATGTCCATATTTATTGCATCCCTGTCTTAGGTCACCATGTTCTCAGGGCCACATCCATCCTTTCTTACCTTACTAAGTCCTTGAAACCATTTGGGATGGTTGCTAAAATAGCCACATTTCTTCTCTAAAAGAAGATTCTCTACAGTTTAACCATTTATAAGCTACATAAAATCTCCCTTATGTATCATTTTGGGGGCACTCCGAGGTGTTTTATATCAGTTAAGACGGTGGAGCAGGCAACGATGTCCTCACGCTTGGCTGTTCCTTGTGCTGCAGTTGAAATCCTGAGAATCATTAAAATGATTTATTTATTTTTTAGTATTTATATGGAGGAGGCTAGAACGGCCTAGACTTTTACCTCATCTTGAGTGTTATCACTTGCATTAGGTATTCTTTGCCTCTTTGAGCCTTGTCTGAGTGATGGGAGACCATCACAGATCCTTAAGAAACCGCTGTAGATCCTCAATGAAACAGGAGGTTTCAACTTCATGGATGCGGTGGTCTGTGTCCATCAAACTGAATCCAACTGTTGGCTGTCCTGCACTTTTAGAGCTAGTTAACAAAATAAAAGAAGAAGTGATACTGCCATTAAAAGAATTTTATAGAAAACAGTTTTATGGCCTCCATCTCCTCAGGGAAAAAACAAAACCCTACCGAGTCACGCTTGGTTTCCGAGAGCTCTAGTTGAATTTCAACTGGGGGCTTGAGAAACTTGCCCCTCTCAATTTCAGAGGGTGCAGGCCCAGTTCCCTAAACACCGCTGAATATTGTATTTTTCTGCCTCATTTTTCTGCCTTGTGCCCCGTATGAGAAGAAAGTGGATTGGTTTAATGGCGGCCTTGCCAGTGGACACCCCTCAATGCACTGAAACCCCTTTTCTGTGCTATTTTTTTTTTTTTTAGATGATTTTAACCAAAGTGGCAGCCTAAAAATAATCTAAAATCATCTAAAAAAAAAAAAAAAAACCACGACAGATTTTCCAGAGTTTCTGTGGGGAGGCACCCCCAATTTCTAGGGAGTTTTTCTCCCCAGAGTTTCTGTGGGGAGAAGCGTCCCCAGAGGGCTGGGGGGAGGAACACAGGGGGAAAGTGGGATGTTGTAATTAAAAAAAAAAGCACCATAATTATTGTTTAAAATTTTTTTTTATTAAAGCTTGGGGGGGGGAAACACCCGTCGGCCTACAAGCTGGGGCTGGGCCGCGGCCTGGCGCCGCGGGGGTGGCCGCGGGTGAGGCGTGGGGGGGGAGCCGGCCTTGCCCCCACACGCCACCCGTGGGCTTCATTTTTCCCTCGGAGGGAGTTAATTAGGGGTTAATGTTAATCTTCCACACATCTTCCCCCCCTCCTCCTTTCTTCTCTCCTCCCCTCAGGAGCGGCGGCCGCACGTGCGGGGTGCGTGGGCGGGCGGAGGGAGGGAGAGAGAGGAGGGGAAGGGAAAGGAAAGGAAAGGAAAGGGGGAGAGGCGGCCGCGTTTGCCGCTCGGCGCCGCGGTGAGGCGAGGCGAGGCGCCGGGGCCTGCCGGGCGCCCTTCCCGCGGCGGTGGTGGCAGTGGCGGCGGCCCTGGTCTCCTCTCCCAGGTGGGAGCCGCCTCTTGGGCTTTCCTTCGCCGTCGGGGAGCTGGGCCGTGGCCGCCTGCGGGGTGGGTTCCCG